ACCAGCAATGCGGATGCCATGACTAAGTCAATGAGTAGCGGTGGATACACTCTCTGAGCAGAAGTGTGGTGGTCTGAATAAGAATGGCTCCCATAGGCTCGTAGATATGGATGCTTGGTCACCAGGGAGTGGTGCTGTTTGGAAGGATTAGGAAGTGTGGCCCTGCTAAAGCAAGTGTGTCACTAGGGGTGGGCTTTGCAGTTTCAAAAGCCAAGGCCAATCCCAGTGTCACTCTCATACTGCTGTCTGTGGATCTGGATGTAAAGACCTCAGCTCTTTCTTCAGCACTATGTCTGCCTGCAGGCCACCATGCTTGTCACCATGATAATGGACTAAACCCATGAACTGTAAGCCAGCCCCAATGAAATGTTTTATGAGTTGCAATGGTCATGGTGTTTCTTCACAGCAAGAGAACGGTGACTAAGACATTAAGTGCACCTAACACTCAAGAGCTCACGTTTTTGCTATGAATACTGAAATCATTTCATCCCTTGGTTATAACTGCTGCAGACATTTAAGGGGTAATCTCAAGCCAGTCTCCTGCTCGTGGCTGATGCTTCTGTAGACTCTACCAGAAAACTTCCGTAGTGTGCAAATGCAACTTCAACTTTGGAATAAAAGCATGGCATGGGCATATAATTCAGTTATAAAAACACATTGTAACTATTTTTTGTGTTTGTAGTGTTGATTGGACCCAGGACCTTCCACATGGCTAGGGAGGGGCTCTAGCACCAAGGTATATCTGGACCCCAAACCACGTTTTAAAGTTCTCTACAAAAGCATCCAGCTGCCCTAGTTCTCTTCTGGTTTCAGCTCTCTCTCTAACCTGTCTGTTCCTTGCTTCTCTGCTCCTTTCAATAAATTCAGTCTGGTTTTGTTAATTTACTGAACTACCTTTATCCCCCAAAGCCAGGTTTTCCTTTTGTGACATGCCTTTTATTCTGAGTCCTGAACATTCTCATTTGCTTTCAACAGAATGCTTCAAATGAAATCTCATCAGGGATTCCCCCAGCCCAGAGCTGGAGAAAACTCACACTGTTCAACCTTACAGCCGAGACTGCTAAGTGCAATTAGAAGATTACAGGCTTTTGGGCAGTTACCCATTGCTTCTGATGTTCGAAACTAGATTCTTCCACACATAAGCCTATTTCACACTCATGATCCAGGTCACAAGAACAAGCCAGAATGATGTAAACTCCATCATCTGACTCCTTCCAACATTCCTGGTGCATTGCTTCAGGATTGAGACAAACTACATTGAGACCCTACTCTCACCTTTTAAGAAAGAAATTGCCAATTTGAAAGGGATTTTAAACTCCTATTGAGCCTGTTTCTTCACCTGTAGTATGAGAAAAAAAAAAGTCACACCCATGTCTAAGGTTAGCTCTGAAAATTAAAAGATAAAGTAGTAGAATGCTTGCATAGGTGTTTAGCAAATGAGGTGGAATTATAATATTAGCTTGTGGAACTGGAGCGATAGTTCAGGGGTTAATAGCACTTGTAGAAGACCCAAGTTTGGTTCCCATTACCTTCATGGTAGCTCACAATCATCTAGAACTCCAGCCCAGTCTTATCTCCTTGGGCACTAGACATGCATATACATTTGTGCAGACAAAATATTCATAGGTAAAGAAATTAATCTAAAACCAAATAAATAAATGGTTGTAAAAAGGAAGTGGTTTCTTAGGAGATGGCAGCTCAGATTTCAGTGTCTAAGGCGAAGGTTCTGCTTGGCCCTGCTGACCAGAGCATGGGGGATGGGTTATCATGGCAGGAAGTGAATTGAATATGACTTAATGAACTTTCATTTCGATTGAGCAACATTTTTATTTATATAAAAAACTTTTTTTATAAGTTCTTTTGCTCAGCAGCAATAAAAGGAAGCAAGAAGCACTCAGTTGGAAGCAATAGCTGCTCAGCTCCTAAGGCAGCATTAGAAGGAATGTCCTTGTCTACAATGCCTAGCCATTTTGCTTGGAGGCTACGATCCAGATCACTTAGAGTTTACCTATAAAAACGAGGCCAGGGAACCTTCTCAAAACTTCAGCTAATAAATTACACTGACAGAGATTTTAATTTCCTAATGTATGTAACTACCCATTAATAAAATTTTGGCTGATAACTCACAAAATGTTTTTGATAACTGGATGATACTGACTTAGTGCTAATTGCATATGCTGTTTGGTAGTGTTCCTTAGAAGCAAGGGAGGATGCTGACACTCAGAGACTCCCACAGTCAGAGGTCAGAGCCGGGAAGGAGCTGGGGAAGTGACGGGGACGGCAGCACACGTCCCACTGTGGAATGGAGCAGCCTCCCTGGAGACAGTTCTCTGGGAGAGGGGTCTCTGCAGTTCACCCTAAGCACACCAAGCCCCAGACATTTTTGACATTAAGGATCTGGATGAATCATCTGTTCCCACAAATGCCATTAAACTATTTTAAGCTAATTTTGAAGGGTGTTGAAGATCAATCACAGAAAGCTCTTGTCTGTATTCAAGGTTTTCCATGACAACCAAAATTTTTCCTCACATAGATATTCAATCTTTAATGGCCTTGCTGGGTAATCATAAGTAACACAACTCTTGAATTTTCTTGTTAATAGAAAAGTAGTAGGCAAAAGTCACCTGTGTTTAAAAGTATTTTTTTCTATTTAGTTTGAGCATTTGCATTTTAAGAATGAATGTATTGTGCACCCTTACCACAGTGGTAAAACTCAGTACCAGCCAAGTAAAACTGTTTAAGTGTTGTTCAAAGTGCAAGGGCATGCTCTGAAGACTGAACACACCAATGCTGCTACGGTCACTAGTCTTTCCTCTGCACCACACCGTTCACCTGTCACACTGCATTGCAAACTGGCACCGATGACTATGATCTAATTGTCCCCACATATCCCCCGTTAGCTGTTCATCAAAAGTGCACATTCTCTGTCCAGTAATTGTGTTTTTAAAAGGTCTTTCTTATTCTCAGACTTTAGCTCTTAGGGTAAACAGAAACTGCAATATCAACAAAGCCTAATTGAGCAGAATAGGCTGTGACAGGAAACATAGAGAAGCAGTTTGTACTGAAGTTAGGTAACCATTCAAATAAGCTTTTTACAGTCGAGGATTGAGGGTAAGTAGTTGGTCAAAATCCAATTTTAAAGCTGTACCCCCATTCAGAGAATGACTACTGATCTATGTTTGCCCCGAATGGCAGTTACATGAACTGACACTCTGTCACAGACTCTGTGCTCTCTCAGAGCTCTAGCTCATCTTAACTTATTTGTTTTGTGTCACTTCCTCATTCTCCAGTCTTTCTAATTTCCCAGGCTGGCTTGGAACTTGCAATCCTCTTACCTAACCTGCCCAGGTAAGGTGTGTCCCACCGCATCTGCCCCTTCTCCATGACTGATTTTTTTTTCTTTTTTTAAATAATGCCTAAAGCTGATAGGATAAAGGGGTCAAAGTCCTCTGACAGAGGCACAAAGGGCTCCCATGAATCTGGCAGGCTCTACAACTCTTAGCTAACTGAGTCTATAGAAATGGTGCCTTGACAGACTCCGGACAAGTGCACAGCGTCTATTTCCTGTTTCCTGGACCACTGTCTCCTGCTGTGGGTGAGCATGGTCTCAAAGCTCTGTGGAGAAGCCCATAGAAAGAGGACTTAGGGTTCAGCCAACAACCAGCTCCACCTTGCAACCCCATGAAGTGGTTGCTCTAGCCACAGTGATGCTGCAGAGGACGGTGATGAGCATGCCCACTGCATCAGACCCAAGTCAGAGTCAAAGGTAGAATAAAGAACTACTGGGATGTCTACAGAAGCTTAAGCTGAGGTTTCCTAAGAGATAAAATAAAATGAGGGCAGTAAAAGAATATATTTTAAGCACTTGCTACATGCTGAATTACTTAGATACCTTTATTCTCTACAACCTCCGGCCTAGACATGATTATTTTCTTTATTTTGCAGATGAGGGTTAGAGACTCACAAACTAAGTAACTGTTCTACATTACATGACTGGAAGAGAAATTTCAAAAGGAAATCTGACCTCGAGGCCATGAGTAGGTGAGGAGACATGAAGAAGACGCCAAGCTCTTGCCGAGGCGACTCAACGCACTCTCCATCACACACAGGGCTTGCTTTCATTACCACTCCGTGCATCATTTACCTTTGAGTATCTGTGCTCCAGTCACAGCAACTGACATGTCTATTTCTGGTAATTCTGATTTCAGGAGAAACAATGCGGACTCACTGATTACACAGTGTTTTGTAGCTTTTTTTTTTAAGCCCAGAGTTCTACCATTTGTTTCAGGAAGACCCTCTCAAGTCCTGACATCTACAACACACTTCTCTTACTGCACTTCATTAGCAATGACCTGTCCCTGTCTGGTAGTGTTCATTACTTACATAATTCATCTCTTCTCTATATAAAACTTCTTCTGACTTCATAACTGGTTTATACACGTGATTCTCAGAGAACCAGCTACATTATCTTATGCATCATAGCTGGGTCAATAGATATTCATGGGATGAATTACTGAATACACATACAGCATAGGAAGAAGACCATAATCAAATGCAAACCTCCTTAGATTTTCACAGCTTTCCCAGCCTTTCGTCATAGGCTAGTTGTGTAAATCCTGAGTCACGTTAGTGGCTCTCCACATCCTCACACTTCAGCTGCAGGATCAGAGAGCAGAGTCCCCCTAAAGTTCCAAACACTCACTACACGTTATCACTTAGTAAATGACATACATTTGGGATCTTTTCTCCATGATGGAGTGGCCACTATTTGATTTCAAAACACTTAAAGGCCTTGGCATTGGCAGAGTCCCAAATTCTTCTAAAGCAAGAGACAGGGCAGAAGCATCGAGAAGGAAGCTTTAGCTCTGCCCAGAAATCCCAATCCCACCATGAAGGTCAGACCTTTCTGTGTGTGTGAGGGACAGAGAGAGTTAAACTACCATCACCAAGGTCTTTACAAGTACCACGTCACATAGGAAATGATGTGGAAAAGCACCAGCTACAGAACGTATGAAGTCCCTTCCAGAGGAAACTTCCAGAGCAAGGCTGCAAGGCTTTTATTGCTGCACACTTAATGACAGAGAACAGACTTGGTCAATATGAGACACGACCATGTTCCACATTCTTCTGAAGGACTTGAAGGCTTGCCTTTCATTTCCCTCGGTATGGACCTTCAGCATCAGTTAGCTTTGCTGGATGCTTCGAGCAAATCTTTTGCTTCATTTATTTTGGATGCTAAGTAAGGAGATCCACCTGGGAGGACAAAGAGAAATGAATGATTAAGATTTATGTCATTACTGACATTTTTAAAAGTCAATACTGGAAAAAACAACAATTCAGGTATTTTCTCACACATATTTTTCCAGAGAAACTATACTATAGAATTACCAGAAATCAAAACAGCACAAATTAAACTTATTTAGTAAAGTATTAGAGGTGCCCAACAATCAAAATACATTTTATGAGAAAAAATTAAGTTATAAACACTTGAAAAACACTCACTGGTTGTATAGTTACCATATAGATGTTTGGCCAGAATATTTCCTAAAATTAAGTATATTATTAAGTAAACAAAATACCAGTTTCTCCATAGCTACATTTTAAAAGCAATAAATATTCATTACCTTTAAGAAAGAGGTAAATCCACCTAAGGGGGTCTTTTCATGTCTTATCATAATTTCAAAAAAATAAATGCATGCATAAAAGGCAAATGCATAATATCTAGTGGTATGATAAATGAACTAACAATAATCACAGTGATAATAAAAATAATGCTAGAAGAAATTCTCCCTGTTCTCTGAAATGATTCTAGTACAACATTTATAATGGATTCTTAGATTTACAATGTCCTCAAATAAAATAAAATCAGTTCTTTTTTAGAGTTCTTTGCAATGAATTCTTTCTAATGCAAACAGCAAACTGGGGTGAATTTCAATACAGAGTTGTCATAACCATAAACAATGCGTATCTGACATTCAAAAAACTACAAACTGTCAGGTCAAAGCTACTCCACAGCCCTAACTTCTGTTCTACAACACTGCCATTGCTTAATGCTTGAGCTAATGACCACATTGCAGTTCCCAGTCTCTGCTTCTATTTTGTAATATTCCCTTAAGTACAAACGATCTATGGCTGTTGAAAACATGGTAAAGTCTCAATAACTTCTAAGAAATCAAAAGCATTTAGACAGTATAGGTATAAACTATCCTGGCCTTAGGTCTTCTACTGTTACTACTCCACCACTTTACAAAGGAAAAGGCAAGCAGAGAAACAGATCAACACACAGGCTGCAGTAGAGCTGGAGAAGGCTATATTTAGCATTTGCCCTTGAGGATACCACTGACATTTTCATACTAAGATCTGACACACGAAAAACATTTAAGGAATATACCACACAGTGAGTACACAATGAGAATTACAAAGGAAGGTCATAACCCTTGTGGCTGTAAGCTGATTTCATGATTATCTCTAATAATGACCTTGGAACATTCAAGGCTCGTCTTTATCAGCTGCTTAAATGTTTGACTTAGCAAGGAGTTGCCAGGCATTTTGTGTGTTCTAAAAATATTAAAATATTAAGTGATCTTAGCTATAATCTTTAATTGAGCAATATGCGTTCTGATTATTTAAATTATAAGTCATTATAGGCTCATAATAGAAAACAGATAAACAAATCAAAAAAAGGGCCCATAAGAGTAAAAGTCTTATTAAACATTATATTTATTGATGGTAATTAATGTCATATAAAACAGTTTATTCAGAATACTCCTGAGTTCTCTGCTACTCCTCTGAAGTATGGAGACACCAGGCTTGAAACTTATGTACTAGGTAGAAAATTCACACTGGCTCTCATGACTCTTTTACCTGGAAGAGTCCCTAAGCCAACAGCTATAATTCCTATGTCCCCATCTAAGGTAGTTTAATTCAGAATGAGTTTTTATCAACTAGAGGCACTCTTATGTGGCCTATATAAAATATCTGCTTCTTGCCCCAAGTCCTGACTGATAGCAAGATATAGGATGCATAGCCTATAACTAACAGAAAAAAATACACTCTTTACCTTCCCAGTCCCTTTCAGTTTGGGGGGATGAGTCAGTCCCCTTGATTCTACTAATTAGGCACCTCTCCTTTCCTGATAATCTGTGTATGTTTGTACCTCCACTAAATATTGGTATTATTAGCTCTCTTGTTTAAGATGAACCCCTCTTCTGAAAACAAATAAGCAAGCTGAGAAAAGTACAACTACATCAATATAAAAGTACCAGACGGTTTCTAAGTCAGGCAGTTCTTCACTATAGACATCTTTTTTTTTTTTTTTTTTTTTTTTTTTTTTTTAATAATTTATTTATTTTTGAACATGAAATGCTTTTTTATAGCATGTTTCACAAGGGGAGGGGGTAAGAGGGGCCAGATGGTGGAAAAGTACAAAATCTTCTTGGCCTGTGCCTTGAAACATGTCATGGTCTATACGGTACACTGCCTTGAATTATGATCTACCTGCTGTTCTTCAGAAGATATGGTACACTGCTTGAGTTATGGTCTCCCTGCTATTCTTAAGATGATATGGTACACTGCTTTGAGTCTATCTGCAGTTGCTAAGCAGGATCTTGCAGTTGCCAAGCTTCAGAGGACATTGTGCAGGTGGGGAAAGGTAGGGGGTGAGGGTAAGGGCGAGGGTCCTGGCTTCTGGCATCTCCCCCTTCTCTGTTTAGTTAGAGAAGGCATCTTATGATCAATCCCAACTATGTGAATTTTGAATTTGGATGTCTAATTATGGGGGGTCTTAGACAAGTTCACAACCCCAAAACACTGCTGTGAGACGAGTCACATCGATGGTCGAAGGTTTTAGGCTGTCGACGATGGGCAACGTCAAGGGACTCCGATGTGGGTGAAAGGAGGGTGAGGGCCCTGTCTTAGGCCATGTAGGCTGCACCCACTCCCAGCACCACGCACTCCTTTTCGGCTGCATTGGGTGGGCCCCTGGGAAGTGGACCTACAATAATCCCGTCATTGGGCTAACTCACAGCCATCCTAGTCCCTTGTAAATGTTCAATTTACCAACCATTTGTCAGTTTGGGGTGTAATATTGTCATAAAGGAAGGCTCCCCAATGTTAGCGGCCATATCAAGGGGGGCCTTGGTTTAGGAAAAAGCCAATTTTTGTTGTGGTGATCAAGAGGCCAAGCTCTCTATCGAGAGAAACGGGGGCAAAGCCAGGCATACCAGGAACCCTTCTGGAGGGCGTGGAAGTCTAGCGGTCGACCGTAGGGGGGAGGCAGGGGAGCTGGCAGCTGTGTCAGTCTCCTGCAGAGTCACTTCTGGATCCTCTTCAATTTTCGGCTGATGGTAATGAACTTCAACCGTCTTCTTGATGGCAGCATCAACCTGGTTCCATGGATGACAGGTCGCGGGTTTTGATCTCTGTCTCGCTTAATCTTGATGTCCTGCGCACATCCTCTCAATGAGGGTCCGTCCAGAGGGGTCCGTGCCTCGAGCCCCACGTCTGGGTGCCACTTGACCCGACTGGCAGGCCCTAGTTATTCGTGGGGGCGAGGAGGACTGCAACCTGCTATTCTTCAGAAGATATGGTACACTGCTTGAGTTATGGTCTCCTTGCTATTCTTCAGATGATATGGTACACTGCTTTGAGTCTATCTGCAGTTTCCAAGCAGGATCTTGCAGTTGCCAAGCTTCAGGGAACCTTGTGCAGCTGGGAAAAGGTAGGGGGTGAGGGTAAGGGCGAGGATCCTGACTTCTGGCCCATCTGGATTAGAACTTCTAATGGCAGGCATCACGGGTGATTCATTTTTGCCTGGAAAGAAAAAAAGAAGGGGATTCTCAGGGAGATTTCTCTTCCCTGGATGTAAATTATTATTCATCGTATTTATGGTTGGGCCTGGCTTTGTGAGTGTATCTATTTTTTTCATTAATATTTATGGTAGCCGGTTAGCTGTGCCTTCTGTGGTATTGGACAGGCATATCAGTCCTCGGCTCCATAAGGGAACTGGGTCTGGGGCATTCCCTTTACGGGTATGAGGGTCCTTCCCCATATCTGTGGCAAAGTTTTGTTGGTCTTGGTGGTGCCCGAGGTCACCAACATGGTCAGCAAGAGATTTGCCATGAGCTTTCAGCTTAAGAGAGAGAAAAGTGAACAAGGCATGATGGAGAGTATTTCAGGGGGGCTCCTTCTGAGGGGGTACCGTTCCCCCTCTTTTATTTTTAAAGCCAATTTTTCAGAGTTCTTGTAAAATCAGGGCTGAAGCGCCAACAGTAGCTCCTTCTACACTCAGAGAGTCATGAAGACCTTATTTAAGGATATATAAATCTATATTTATAATCTTTTGTCAAAGGACTTTTATAGCACCACTGACAATTAATCAGACTATATGATATATCGATTGGAAATAGCTTTTTCAACTTTTTGTGAGATTACCTCTCTTCTGTCAATTAACTGTTGAGGAAGTTAGGGTTTACCTCTCTCTTGAGAATATTGATCAGAGATTTAAGTTCTTTTGTGGAGAGCTTAAAATAGGATCTTAGCCAATTTGCAACTCCTAGAAACTTTTGAAATTAATTTAAGATAAGTAAACTCCCTTTTTTAAAAAAATCCTTTATCTGTGTGGGTTTTTTATTGGGTATTATACGTATTTACCTTTCAATGTTATCTCCTTTCTCATTCTCCCCCAAGATCCTTTATCCCATACCCACTCCTCCTAATTTTTGTGATGGTGTGCTCCAAACATCCTCCCAGTCCCATCTCCCTGCTCTCGAATTCCCACAGAGTAGGGAATCCAAACTTTCGGGGACCTTGGCCCTCCACTTTCACTGAAGTCTAACAAGGACACCCTCAATTCCCTATACAGGTGTGTGAGTCCCTCCCTTTGTGTTCTCTGGTTTAGACTTTGGGAGTTCTGGTTGAAACTTTTGATACTCCTTCTAGAAAGGACCAACGAATTCATACTTTGGTCTTCCTTCTTCTATGTGAGTTTTATGTGGTCTGTATGTAGGTTCTTAGACATTGTGAGCTTTTGGTCTAATATCCACTTATCAATGAGTGCATACCAAGTATGTTCTTTTGAGATTGGGTCATCTCACTCAAGATGATATTTTCCAGCTCCATCCATTTGCCTAGGAATTTTGTGAACTGATTGTTCTTAATAGCTGAGTAGTATTCCATTGTATAAATGTACCACATTTTCTGCATCCATTCTTCTGTCGAAGGGCATCTGGGTTCTTTCCAACTTCTGGCTATTA